GGAGGAGGAGGAGGAGGAGGAGGAGGGGGAGGAGAGGGATACAGCACAACGAGATCAACAGCCGCGGACGCATCTTCGCGCAGGACATCCGCGACCCTCGACTCCACGAATACATTGCCATCGTACGCGCACACCAAGCACAATACGAGCAGCACCTCACCGACATCCACACTTGCTATCTTCAACACGGCACACCTTTCAAAGAAGCACGACCGAGCAAGCCGTATCTACTCATTTCCACAAAATCCGCCGACCCTGTCGGCGTGTGGAAGAGGCTTTGTTGTTTGCCCCATCTTCCTCGTCGTTCCATTTTTCCGTTTCCCTGCAGCGTCGTCGCTTCTGTCCCTTCCCTACAGCCTTCTCCTCCACTGCGCCCGTCGCTTTATCTCCTGTCCTTAAACCTTTTCCTGAAGCGTGTCGGTACAAACCGAAACGGAACAACGTCGCCTCTGAGTCAAAGGGAAGCCCCTTCCCTTTCTTCCCTTCCCCGCCAGGGGGGGGGGGTCCCGGGGGGGGTTCCGGGGGGGGTCCCGGGGGGGGTCCTGGGTCAGATACGCCGCCCTCCCGGCGTCGCTCCTGTCCCTTCCCTACAGCCTTCTCCTCCACTGCGCCCGTCGCTTTCTCTCCTGTCCTGAAACCTTTTCAAGACCTTTTCCTGAAGCGTGTCGGTACAAACCGAAACGGACTGCTCCATCCTCTTCCTCCTCCTCCCCCTTCTCTCCCTTTTCCATTTCTCCTCCTCCTCTTCCTCCTCCTCTTGCTCCTCCTCCCCCCTTCTCCTCCTCCTTCTCCTCCTCCTCCTCTTCCTCCTCCCCCCCCTCTCTCCCCCTTTGCCGTCGAGAGCCGATGCCGCCAGGGTCGGCGGCACAGGCCGTAAGGCCCGCGCAATACCACCGAAACCCAAACAGCAACAGACCAACCCAGCCAACGGCAGCAACACCACGTGACACTCACACGACTACGCACAGCTATGACGTACATGACGAACCGGCGGGTATAGGGCAGAGACTAAGGCGACATTCACCACAAGCTCTGCCTCGTCGTCGATTACTGCAGAACTTCATTGACTGACCTCTCCTCCTGTCCTCACGATTATCAAGTCTACGAGTCCAATGGCAGCACTTTGACTTTTACTCTTTCCTCTCCTCTCAGGTTTCGTTATACATGTGTTATGCGTCCTCCTCGTCTTCCGCTTGGTCACCCACTTCTCTGTAACGTTTCAAGAGGTCAGCCGACCTGTCATGCATGCCTGCTTGGCCCCCCTCCACCAATCTCACCTGCCTCTCACCCGTCGTTACTGCTTGCTTTTCGCCCTCCACACCACAAAGGTCACATCAAAACCTTATCTCTCATCGCTTGCTGATCTGCAACACTTTACGTAATACGCAGCTGACCCTCCCTCAAGCAGTGACTGAAGACATTTGATGTACGCTCCTACGTACACTTACTTACGCCTGCCTGTTCTAGCCAGAAGCTACCAGCAGCTAACAAGTTTTGCTTACGAAGCTGGAACATTACATCAACACCAGGCGAGCCAGTACTTGCGCCAGCCTCTACCAGCCAGCGGCTACCAGCACATAAAACGCTTTCCTCACAAAGCTTGTGCAGTCTTTCTCCGGTTTAGTATAGGAAGCGAGGTGGAGGTGGTGGATTATCAGGCAGTTACTGAAGACATGCGACTTACAATCATGCGAGCAGTTACTTGCGCCAGTCCGTATGAGTCAGCTGATGCCAGCAGCTAGCATGTTCGAACTACGGAGCTGGTACCATGCGCCTTCGACCAGAGATGGGAGGGCGGAGGTATGGGTGCCATTAGTGGGAGGGGAGGGCTCTCAGCCAGCTACTGAACAAAGTTGACTTACACTCCTGCGTGCACTTACCTGCGCGAGTCTGTACCAGCCAGCTGCCACCAGCAACTAACATGTTTTACTTGCGAAGGTGACACCGTTTGTCTGCGACCAAAGATGGAAGAGTGGATCCTAGTTTGGGAGGTGAGGCGGCGGTGGTGGATTCTCAGGCAGCTACTCAAGACAATTGGTTTACAATCCTGCGTGCATTTACCTGCGCCAGTATGCACCAGCCAGCTGCTACCAGCCGCTAACATGTTTTTGCGTACGAAGCTGGAACCATTTGCCTTCGACCACAGATTGAGGGTGGAAGTATGGGTGCCAATTGCGGGGTAGGGGAGGGTTCTCAGGCAGCTACTGGAGACAATGCTTTACAATCCTGCGTGAATGTACCTGCGCCAGTTGGAACCAGCCAGCCGTTACCAGCAGCTAACATGCTTTACTCACGAAGCTGGCACCTTTGTGTTCAACCCAAGCTGGCAGGGTGGATCAGACCCACACCGCTACTTCCTCACGTCTTCCTCCTTCATCTCTTGATCATCCCACTTCCTCCCTGTCGGGACCCACTGGTCCAAAAGGCAGGGCAGGCCTCCCTTGACGGCAAGACTCCGTGATACAGGCCAGCCTACAGGCCAGCCTTAAGACCATATCGTTGTTACTCTGACTTCGTGCTTACCCGACAAGAACACACACACACAATAAAAAAGCACGCAAGTCCTGGGACCTAGGTGGTCCGGAATAAACCCAGAAACCGTGACAGTAACCCAAGAACCGCTACAGATAGCACTTGCAAACACTTGGCAGGTGTTGCTGCTTGCCTTGTTGTTGTGCGGGCGATAGAACAACCCTAACTCATGAGTAACTCTCGGCCTCGCGATTCGCAGCACTTCAGCCGAACTTCGCTAAGAAACTGCTGACTGCGCGGTAAGCGATGGACACCACGCCAAGGGAGAAGGAAAGGGAAGAGGAGGGAGGGAGTGTGGGCATTGTGGGCACTGTGGTGGCGGTGGTTGACGTGCTACCGTCAATCCGTTGCCATCCCGAGGCCAGGTTTGCAGGCTAGCCCTTGCCCATTGCGCTCAGGCGCGCTGTTGCACTCTGCCCGTGCTCGTGGCTGCCCACCTGCCACGTGTTTTCTTCAGTACCTCCTTACTGCAATGCGCTTCGCACTTCCTTTCACGCACCCTTCGCGACGGTCTGCAACACTAAAATCTCGGACATAGGGGGAGATAGTGTGACGGCGGTGGTTCTACTAAGGTATGCGGGCCGACACGTTCTACCCCTGGCGGGCGCCTAATTACACCACTATTCGTTTCCGCCGCGGCGCCCGCCAGGTTTCGTTCGCCAAATCCGACATGTGTAGCCTGCTTTGCGCACATCATCTTCAAGAACGCCACAACATGTACACAGGTCGGGCTAATGTAAAAAGGAGAAGTGGGAGAAGGAACGGGAGGTTGTGGCGTGACTCTTAAACCTCCTCCTGAAGGATGTGAGGAAGGAAGAGGGTGAGAAAATGGAACATAGAGTAAGGAGGATTAGGATGATGATGATGCTGCTGATGATGATGACGACAATGGTGATTATACTGATGATGCGGAGGAGGATGACGATGAAGATGATAACGATGGCGATGGCGATGAGGATGATGATCACGATGATAATCAAGATGATGATGGTGATGATGATGGTGATGTTGATAGAGATGGTGATGCTGGTGCTGGTGATGATGATGATGGGATGTTGATGATGATGCTGTTCCTGATGATGACGATGGTGATGGATATGGTTGTGGTGATAATGATGATGATAATGATGACGATGGTGGTGATGGTGACGATGATAGCATTGGCATGGGGTCAGGAGGAACAGGAGGACGAGGACGGAGGAGGAGGGAATGGGGGCGACGAGAAGATCACGAGCAAGACGAGAGCGAGGAAGGCGGTGATCAGGATGAAGAGAGCCATGAAGAGAAGGATGGTGATAGTGAGGAAAAGGGTTGGGATAAAGACGATGCTGCAGCAGGGGAAAGGATATGAGGATGATGGGGACGCGGATCAGGAGGAAGATGGGGAGTTCGAGGATACCACGAATACATGTGATCATGCGGAAGGCAAGCCGAGCATGTATTGACATGCATATGTGTGCGCATGCACGCGGCACGCGCGTGTCCAGGATCATGCAAACGCACGCGCAAGATGTGTGTATGTGTGGTGTGTAAGGTGTGTGGTATGTGTGCTGTATGCTGTGTGCTGTGCGTGAACTGTGTATGGGTCATGTGTGTTCTGCGTGCTATGTGTGCTAGTTGTGCTGTGTAAACGTTGTGTGTGTTGCTTATGTTGAGTGTGCTGTGCGTGTGTGTGTGTGCGCGTGTGCGCATGTGTGTGTGTTCTTTGTGTGCTCCGCGTGTTGTAGATGTTGTGTGTGTTATGTGTTGTGTGTGTTTTGTGTGGTGTCTGTGTGTTATGTGTGTACTCTGTGTTGTACGTCGGGGATCGACTGTGGGAGGATTTCTCAGGCGAAACTGCCTTTCTCTAAGAGTCGCGTTGAAAAAGGGGCTCGGTTGTTCGAGGATGTCTCAAACGAAACTGCTATGTTCGAAAATTCGGGCTCGAAATCATTGATTTCATTGTGTGCTAAAAAATGCTATACTCAAATTGTTGAGAAAAGCTGTGCAATTGTACCGTGACGACGCGATCTGCGTGAGGGTTGCGTCTGATGTTCAGGATGTTGAGGATGTCCCTAGCGAAACTACCCAAAAAAGAAACGCGGCTTGAATTAGTCGCCTCTGAGCTATCCTCCCTCGGAGAGGTGCGTATGAAAAAATGTTTGCGTATACATGTACCTCTGAGCGGGGCCTTGAATCTAAACCCGAACCCTCACTCCTTACCGCCTCTTCGGAAGTGGTGGCATAGACCACGGATTGCCCTACTTCTCCTGCGACTTCAAGTAGCAGAAGTAGCAGCAACTCGAGCAGCAGCGGTAGCCAAACAGCAGAGTGTTGAAGCAGTAGCGATATAGGAGAAACCACCTCCGATCGGTCCTCGTCCTCCCCATCTTGATTGTGAACTTGTCACGGCAACATCGACCTGCATGCTCATATTCCGAGGCTCTCCCGTTCCAGCCGCTGCTGGAAACCATCAAAAAAACGCCTGCCTTCCATCTGGTTTCCGGGCTTAGCCGGGTCGAAGGAGACGAAGTCGAGCGTCGCGCCTTGCATGATGGCTAGTGGAGAGGCAGAAAGAGAGACTACCGAAGAGGGAAGAGGAGGGAGGAGCAGGAAGGAGGAGACACAAAAGGGATAGGAAATGCTGCGCGACCGGATTATAAAGATGCGCTGTAGGGATGCACAGACCTTGGACGCCCAGGTTGAATCCTTTTCCGCGAAACGGCCAGCGAGAGTGGCTAAGGATGAGCCAAAGATGCAAGGATTCAAGGGTAACCCCTGGAAAATTACGTTCCCTTGCGATCGTGCTGGCTGTATGAGGACGGCGAGGAGGGCGAGGACGAGGAGCCTTGAAACTCCCTCGCCAGCGCCTGCGCGCGCGCGCCCCCACGCACTCGCGTGCGTGCGCCGCGCACCGGACTCGCCCAGCAGATCCGCTCGACAAGAAAAACACGAGAGGAGAAGTGGGCCCAGGATGGATGGCCCGCGGAACGTGAGTCAACGCCAACCGATGCCTAGACCGAAGCCCTCTGATACGACGCGGGCGGTGAAATCGAGGGCAGGAGGGTCGACCCCTGCCTCCCACATGATTGAACGCTGACTGAGATTGCCCTGAAGCGGCGCCCGCTCTCACGCCGAAAGCTCTGTCCGCTCGGACGGGCACGAGACCGCGTAACACAGTGTGGCAACGAGCCGGCTAAAAAGCGTCGCGTTATCAGGATTTGGGGCTGTCCGATCCACGATTAATTTAATCGGCGGTGGACAAACCTCCCTCTTGTAAACCTCCGCTTAATGAAAACGGCCTGGGACCGAAACCGACGGACCTGGACCCGCAAAAACGACGGCCGCGACGCCCTCTCGCGAACCGAAAACGGCCAATTCACTAATCGACGTGGCAGGGTAGGAGGTCTATCCACCCCCGACTTAAGCCAAAGAGGAAACGGGACCGTCTTCACCCACAGTGGCGCGCAGGCTGCCCGCGTGAGGTCGCGCGTGCGCACCCCTCGTGTGCAGCATGCCGTGCCGCGGCGACCCGCGGAGGCCGCGGCGTGAGGCCGCTATGCCATCTTGCGCAGTGCCCCATCGGGGCCGTGCCGCGCCTGTCGGGGGGGGGGGAGGCGGCCGCCGCGCGGCGCCCGGGGGGGCGGCGCGCTCTTGGCGTTGTCGCGCCCTTGCGCGCGATGCATATCAAAACGGGGGGGGGCCCTCGGGCAACGACGCATCGCGCCCTACCCACCCCCCGCGACCGCCTCGGGGCCCCTTGCGGGAGGGGCGCCCCCCCCCCCCCCAGAAAAGTGAAGTAGACACCGAGCGCAAATGTTGAGATAAAATCCCCAACGGGAATCTCGACCGGGAGCGCCCCCGAAAGCTTAGATCCAGAGAGAAGACAAAACTGAATGGAGCAAGTACCTCAGGGAGGACGCCCCCAGTCGAAATGGTTCTGCGGGGAGGGGGGGACAATGCCGCGGCGGGGTCGGACTCGATGCGAGGGCGAGGCTATCAAAAAACCATGTTTGCTGGTGACGGGGTCGGATTCCTGTACTGCTATCGGCGGAGCTAAAAGGGGTCAATACACATTGGGTCCACAAACGCCCTGGAAATCATCGACAGGAGGAAGAGGAGGAGGAGGAGGAGGAGGTGGAGGAGGAAGAGGAAACCAGGACTATTTGAGCTCAGGAGCCACTTGCGCGCGCTGGGCGGACCTCCGAAAGAATGCGATGATCCGTGTACGCCGCAATCTTGGCGGCGGCCCACGGTGGGGGCAGGCCGCGCGCCAGTGCGGCGACCACGATGGCCGCGTTCCGCTGCGTGGCGGACGCGAAGATGGGACGTTGGCCGAAATTGAAGCACTCGCGGAGCTGGGGGGGCCGCTGCGTGACAGCGGCGCCAAACATGCCCACATGCCCCGCAGAGCCCAGGGCGAGGCCCCGCATGGGAGCTCGCACGGCGACAAGGAATGTCGCGGAGCTCCACGGGATCTGTGCAGGGCAAGACGCACTCTTGAGAACCATAGGTGACGCCAGCAGACGACTACGCCCCGCCTCGGCTGCAAGCTCCACGGTGCGCGGAAATCTCGTCGGCGGGAGACCCCGTGCCAACGGCAGGGTTCAGCAGTTTTTCGTGGGCATCGGCCGCTCCCCCGCTTCCCAGTCGTGGTCAGAGGGGGCGTGCATCATCCACGACGGCATGGGCACGGCACGGTGCCATGCGCACTACTTGATCTCCCTCTCCGCTAAGTCATTGGGCCTTCGCGGCGCTCCTGGCCGACTAGATGGCAGCAATCGCGAAGTTTCGCAACGGGCCCGAATCCCAGACCGGCACCGTGAAGGTCTCTGCGGGTGGCGGGTTCCATGGCGTCGCGGCCAAGGGCGCCACTGCATACGACAAGAAGAACACGGGCAAGGGGTGCAGCAACTCGCACGGCGACGTCTTGCGCATCTACGGCCCAACCGCGATGGCAATTACCCCAAACCCCTCCGAGCGGAAACCAATCGTCGAGATGGAAGCCTGGTGGGCAACGTGCACGAAAACTGGAGGCGTCTACGGAATCTGAACTGGATGGGCCCAGAAAAGCTATCAAAATGAATGTTTTTTCAACGTTTTGCGAAGCACAGCGTGCCACAGAGAGAGGAGGGGCGGCCCGCCACCGCGAGGTCCCCGCCAGCGCCTCCCCCCCCCAGCCGCTTCAGCCCTCAAAGGCGCAGGGCGGGGCGCCTCCGAGGGCGGGGAGGGCGGCGGGCTTCGCACCCTGCAGGCCGCCAAAGCCTCGGGCGCGGCGGCAGAAACCACGCGACCACGGGCGAGGCCACGACTCGCTCGCGACGGGCCCGCGCAACAAGGGCGAAGGCCCTTTCGAAAACTACACAAGTTAGCCAGCCCCTTGCGCGAGGCCGGCTGGCAAACGCATTGCAACTGGCAACCGCGCACGGCTGCGGCGCGACTGCACCGAAGACAAAAATAAAGCCAGCGCAGGTCTCAAAGGGCCAAGCGGCGGGATGGGTCGGGAGCCAGACCCCCGACAACCACGGGACCCCTGGCGGCCAGGACCGCGCCCCGAGGGAAACCACCATGATCGACCTCGGCCGAAACGCAATCGGGGTGGAAGGCCGCAAGCAGGCACTACTTCTGAGACATCAAACCGCACCTAAGGACACGAGAAAGCAGATCCCACTGCATGGAACCTGCAAGCGCTAGCTCTGGAACGCGCCAAGTCTGGAACGTTCCTCTGGGCGGCACTTGGACCTCTCCTGGCCCGCCTGAGCGGCGTCGGCATGTGCCCTTCAGGCCCCGCGCCTAACAAGCGCTATAGGGCCCACAAGCGAGAAGCTGCCTCGCCTGCAGCCTCGTCGGCGAACTGATTACCGCTGGCCAAAAACACTTCGCGATCTGAAAGCCCTGCGCCGTTAGGAGAAATATGAAACGGGGCCCACTCGACATCGATCGAGCCTGGACCTCGAGCACCGATGGGGAATTCGAAGCCACAAATCGCTGTTCCGACCCGAAGCTCCAAGGTCGGCCCCGCCCCCACTCAACCCACAACGATATGTGACCAGTCGCAGAGACAATAGGCCCCAACGCCATTCCTAAGAAAAGCGCAAAAGCCTGGAGCCCACGGGGCGCTGTCTGGACGTGACCTCCCCAGATTTCAGAGAGGCCTCCGACCGCGACCCACTGGAAGGGATCCTCACCGGGCCCGCTTCACGGAAGACAACAGCGGCCAAGCCGCAACGGCGGCGCCGGGATCACTGGAAAACTTGCCTCCAAAGCCGTCTCCAAATCCAAAATTATCCCGGCAAAGCAACCTAACAGCGATGTGTAGGAGCATATCTGGAAGCATTCCCCTTAAGATTCAGATGAGAATCCAGTTGTAGAATTCTGTTGTTCTCGCAGTCGTAGTCGCATTCGCGATGACAGTCGCAGCGGCAACGGCAGTCGCAGTCACAGCCTCAGCCTCAGCCTGCCTCAGCCTCAGCCTCAGCCTGCCTCAGCCTCAGCCTGCCTCAGCCTCAGCCTCAGCCTGCTTCAGCCTCAGCCTCAGTCTGCCTTCAGCCTCGGCCTCAGCCTCAGCCTGCCTCAGCCTCAGCCTGCATCAGCCTCAGCCTCAGCCTCAGCCTGCCTCAGCATCAGCCTGCCTCAGCCTCAGCCTCAGCCTGCCTCAGCCTCAGCCTCAGCCTGCTTCAGCCTCAGCCTCAGTCTGCCTTCAGCCTCGGCCTCAGCCTCAGACTGCCTCAGCCTCAGCCTGCCTCGGCCGCAGCATCAGCCTGCCTCAGCATTCAAAATGTGGCCCAGGAATGGAATTCTGGGAACTAGAAGAACACGAAGTGGCCTACAGTTGGCTCCGGGCATTCAAAATCATACCCTGGAATGGAATTCTGGGAACTCGAAGAGCGCGAAGTGGCCTACAGTTGGCTCCGGGCATTCAAAATGTGGCCCGGGAATGGTGTTCTGGGAAGTCCAAGAGCACGAAAAGGCCTACAGTTGGCTCCGGGTATCCAAAATGTGGCCCGGGAATGGAGTTCTGGGAAGTCGAAGAGCACGAAGTGGCCTACAGTTGGCTCCGGGCATCCAAAATGTGGCCCGGGAATGGAGTTCTGGAAAGTCGAAGAGCACGAAGTGGCCTACAGCTGGCTCCGGGCATTCAAAATGTAGCCCGGGAATGGAGTTCTGGGAAGTCGAAGAACACGAAGTGTGTGACTGTTTGTTTAAAACGAGCCCGGCCCTCGCCTGTCCGGCTCCCGCCCAGACCCCCCCCTGGGGAGTCACCAGATGCTCTCTTTTGACCCCCCATAAAAAGGCCGCCCGGGCCTGAAGCTCCGGAGCACTCGCGGAGGCTCAAGGGGCCTACCCAGGCACTGCCAAGATCCTCTGGGGACCCCTCACAGACAGGATGCGCGAGACGCACAAGTGGCACGCCGCGAAATCACAGGCGCAACACAGAATCCAGAAGCGCCACCGCTCGGGGGCGATGCAATCAATCGGCGGCGACGCAATCAAGAGAATCTTCATGACACGGGCACCGCCAGATGGAATGCCCAAAGTCTCGACC